ACACACACACACACACACACACACACACACACACACACACACACACAGATATACACTCACACTGAAACTCACACACACAAAATAGAAACCTAATCAAAGTAATCTGTCAGATTAAGACCCATCATGAAACGGCCTCTAATCCACGCCCGTCCTTCCACAGAGTTAACAGAGCGGTCATTGAGATAAACAGAACTGAAGTCTGTTCCCTGTCATTACACTGAATCGCACGTTACACAAACAAAAATGTTTCTTATAACTGCTTTACTGTTTTATAACGGTTCTAGAGGTGCTGAGCAATGTCACATTTCTGGCTTTCTACTAAATAAGAAAGTAAAATTAAAATCAAACTGACATGCCGTGCTGGTATTTTAACAAACAAACGTATAAGGAACATTATTTTGAGAGCCCGTCAGTATATGTGTGTGAGCATTAAATATTAATGCTACAGGACTACAGTACAAGAAGGCAGTCTTGTATTACAGGAGGCTGCTGCCCTCTTGCCTGCTGAAGTGTAATAGCACACAGTGTCGTTAACCATCAGCTGGATTTACATGAACTCAGATAAACAGATGTTTACATCATTTTGGGGAGGTTAGGACTATTTACAGTAAGCTTTACATTAAGACAGAAAAATGACTTTAAAACAATATCAAGTGAAACATTACCCAATAAGGTGCCTCCCCAACACACACACACAGACACACACAGTATGAGCCAGACTGCCAGATATTGCTGAAAGGGTTTATGTCTTTGAGGACTTTGTCAAAACCAGACATGACAAACAATAGGACAGATATCCATCAGTTGCACCAGACGTGTGTTTGTGTGTATTAGGGGTGGATGTGTGGGTGCACTTGTGTGTGTCTGACGTGGAAGTCGATTTGGACAGACAGTGTGTCGTCACAGATGTCATCAGAGTGACCAGTGGTCCTGTTTTCTGACCTCTGACCTTTCCAGATGGTGACACCCCACTCCCTCCATCAGTCTGTGTGTGTGTGTGTAAAGGTTTGACAGATGTGCTTCAAAGGTTTGAATTAATTTAAGCTCTAAAAATTGTTATTTATCAACAGTTTGGAGAATCGTGGAATGAATGCAAGATGACATGTTTGTTATAATTCCACCGGACTCAGGATACAGCTCTTTTTCACTCCAACAACCCAAAAACATTGAGCGTAAAATATATAGCTTGAAAATGATGCTTGAGTTCATATGGAGCTCCATTTTCAAATCAAAACAGAACCTGCTCTCTCTCCTGTACACTGATATATTCATTACTGTCATTAACCTTTCTGCTACACAGTCCCCTTATCTAATTATCCCCCTGTTACTGCTGAACACACACAAAACACACACACACACACACACACACACTCACACACCATTCTCAGCTGCTACTCCCCACACACCCCATCCCCACCTCCACTACCCCACATGTTGTTTGACAAATGAGTGGTCTCGCCTCATCAAGCACACCACAATGTAAACAGATGGGAGGTGGAGACAAGGACCCGTGCCAGCTCTAAGCACACACGCGCGCGCGCACACACACACACACACACACACACACACACACACACACACACGCGCACACACACACACAGTGCAAAATCCCTAACATATGTTGCATTTATTCAAACAGCCATGCTCAGAAACACTTGCAGATGCTCAGGGAGTATGGCTAACAGGGGGGGGGGGTCTTTCAGAGAAGCAACCAATAAGAAATTACGTGATTCATTGATTTGTCTCCTCCTTTGTGCCTTTATAAAGGTGGTGCAGATTGATCGACAGATAGATAGACAGACAGACAGACTCTAAGGAGTCAGTTGTTCTTTTTTCCCGGTATCAAACTAGTGATCAGGGAAACTGCAGCCCGATCAGTGCCAAGTTTGAGGTCATTACAGCACAAATAACCTCCGATAGCCTATAATGTCCTATGGTTTCCTTGTGGCTATTTAGCAAATGTTATGTGGCTGGTAACGGGTCAACATAACATGCATAAAGATAAACTTAAACTTTATTTTAATCATCACATACATTAAATTAAAACTCAGCATTTAACCCATCCTAAGCATTTAGGAGCAGTAGGCTGCTGTAAAGCGCCGGGGAGCAACTCGGGGTTCAGTTTCTAGTTCAAGGACACTTGGACTTGCAGACAGGCTCTACCCGCCCCATAATAATCCCACAATACAAATTTTACTTTATACCTAAAGTGCATTTTGATAATGATAAGAAACGTAATTTGAGTATCAAGAAAGACTTTACATTGTTTATTTGCCATATTTTAGGTCAACACTGAAGCCTAGAAATTGTTCCACTTAGTTCTACGTCAACTGATCCTCACTCATGGGCTGAGAGTAATGTTTGTATCAAATGTCCTGATTGAATCTCCAAATAAAGATCTGATGTTTGTGATAACTTGTACAAATTGAGATCGAGATATCGACTTTGTTACAGTCTCTCCTAAACAACACTTGTACGTACAGCATGAGTGCCAGAAGTAATTATGTGAATACTGAAAAAAGGTAAAACACTGTTTTCTTTCTCACCTCTGCGCCAGTCACTGTGTGAAGTCGGTGTGGTTGTCAGATTGTCAGCCACAAAAAGTGTTGGCGGCTTATTTAACTCATTTGAATAGTTTCATTGGTAGGCGTCTTTTGTTTCTGTTTGTCTCTGCCATTCTTTTACCTCTTTTCCTTTCTTGTATCTGTTCTATTCACAATCTGAATTGAAGCTTGAAATGACAATTTGTCTGGAAATTTAATAAATTAAGTTTTAAAAACGCAGGAACCCAATTCCAACTAAAGAAATGTTTGGGGGTGAGAAGTTTCAGATGCTGTTTGAGCATCTGATTTGAAGCATGATGACACTTTTATACACTGCTGTTTAGCAGCTTGATCATTTTAGATTATTTCACGTTATTATTAAGAAATAACAATAATACATTTTATTACATTGGTAATGGCAATTTGCCAGGATAGCATTTACACATTTAAAAGGAATAACAGTCATGTACTGTATTTGAGATATACAAATGAGGGCTCTGCTTCCTGCCACATCACTTTTATGCTTACCTAATTTGAGTTAATTAATCATACCAGACAATAAAATGACAGAAGTTATCTAAAGCATTTGTGAAAATTGGGAATGATCTGCTATATGTTCAGCTCCAGTCATATAACTTGTATAACAGACAAGTAAAATGAAAAAAAAAGTAACACTGTCGGGTAATATAACAAAGATGGTGGATTGAGACGTTAGCAGGAAGTCTTTTACCGTACAATAACACATTGCACCCGGGTGCATTGTACATGAACAAAGATACGGCTCTTACTTTAAGTTTTCCCAAAATTCTTAGTGTCTCTATGTCGGCCATCGATGCAGTTTACTTGCAATATAGTTTGACATTCCGGGTGGCGTGAACAACAAACGCCTGCTTTCTTTTAGGGCATAAACAGGCTGCAGATCATTTCAAACCAGCACTGATGATAACAGAGCTCTGGCATAATCAGAGCTATTAACCACAGTTAATAGCATGACCAGATAAGAATCTCTTCTTCTTGGTCTTGTTTTCTCACCATCACAACATGCTAGAATCTGTCCTCACATGCTGGTATTTGTCAGTGTCACATTCTTATGTCACTTTATGAACACGCTCATATACCTGGCTTCACTTTCAAATCCTTCTCACACAGCTCACACATAGTCTTTCTCTTTTCATGATTTGCTTGGAGTATCTTCACAAGTGCCAGCAAACTGTGCAAATCATATGTTGAAGGAATTTACGCAAATATGTGTAATAGCATAATAAAAAATGAACATAACTTTCACATGGCAAGACGTTTGCACTGACTTAAACATTCATAGATTAACTCACAGTTCGACCCTGTAATACAGCTCAATATATCATGTATAAATAACCTTCAACGACAAGTTGTGATGTGAGAAGTTGCGAGTATTCTGCTGGGATCCCATGATCGTTGGCTAACTTAATCCACATGTTTACTTGTTTTGGTTGTTCACGACGATGATTTGTTCCTGTTGCTATACTGCTGCAGAGATTATGTCTCATTTCTGTTTTGGAAGTCTTTTTGCATTTGTAGTCCTTTAATCACCTGTGATGAGATCCAGCTCTGAGGAATTTGATCAGGAGCAGCAGGAGAAGTTCGGTTTCTTCCTTGGAGCGTCTAAGTTGGGCAGCGACTGATCACTTTTCTCATCAAATGCAGCCTGTTTGGTTACCTGCCTATGGGATGGAAAGAAAAGAGGAACAGGTGGAACAAGACATTTATGGAGGACAATCTCACACTAAAACATTACAGTATTTTACATTTACAGTAACTGAGAACTTTCTGTTGTTTTGAGTGTTATGTCAGTCCAAATAGAGAACTTGCTAATTCCATTCTAACGTGTGTATTTTGAGACCGATACAAAGGTTCCTTTTCTAGCTCTATGAGGCTGTATATCTATGAGTGGGTCCCTGTTTCGTATATCAACAGGTGGTAGCAATATGCCAAGATATGCTGCAATGCTCCAACCAACGCAGGGAAGAAGAATACTACTAGGAGGTTGACATGGATGGCAACAATGCAGAATTTAAAAGATTAAAAAATTCGTTTTTGCAAATGTTTTACAATAAAACATATTTGTTTGACCTCAAGGATACACAAAATGTGGTTTGGTGGGTAACACTGAATGTAAACACAACTTTTTGTTTATTTACAAGAAAACTCCACCGTGCACCTTTAACTCCCACGTTTATTTTCCTTTGCAGCAATAATTCTGGTCTTATTTTTACACACTAGAGGGCAGCAAATGTCACAAGTAGGAGCTTGGCATACAGAGCATTTGCTGTTCATAACTGCATTTAAGGTGGTCCTGATTCATTTTTTGGAATTTACCGGTAAAACAAAAGATTAGATGATGGTCAGAGATGGTGTACCTTCGTTTTTTTGGGGACTGGTGATTAATCTTTCTCTTGGCAGACATTTTAACTTAACATCAGCAATGTTCGATTTTAATGTCCCACTAAGCCATGCTAATTAGCCTGCACATACAACACAAGTGCCCTGGCCAGAACTAAATGGAAGACAATACTTATTTATCAATTGCACCTGTTTCTAACAACTAAAATGTCTGAATGAATCAGTTGTATCTCACCTGGCCAGATGCAGCACAGCCTCCAGGATGTTGGAGCCATCTTTGGCACTAGTTTCACAGAACAGAGTGTTGTATGTCTGTTGGGTGAATAAAGGAACTCATTCATTTTTAATCACATATTTATTTTGAGTGCCAGTCATCAACCTACAGCCAGCAAAAAATTGAGAGTTATGACTTTGATTGACATTTGGATCAAACTAGGATAACAGATGAGTTTGTAAGGCAGTGCACCAAATGTTCAGAGTTATTACGAGTATTGTAAAATAAATTGAAGGTGTATATTTGTCATTACCATGGCCAGTTTTTCTCCATAGCTGGTAGGAACACAGTTTGCTCGATCTTGTCTAAGATCACACTTATTACCCACGAGCATGATGGGAATATCCTCCTGGGACACATCCTGCTATGCAAACAAAAAGAAAAAAGATGGTAAAAACAGGAATAACTGAAAAGGAAAACAAAATATTGCAGAGTACCTAAATATTGTAAACTGCTGTATTGTTGTACATGTTTTGCAGCATGTTGATAACAGAATTTATGTACTGAAGGAATTTGAAAAAAACGGAAACAATTGGTTTGACGTTAAGCACCACAGAGAGCACATTATATCAGAAAACACATGACATACACGTAAAGCATGCATATATCAAAAGTCACATAAATGTCAGCATGCCCAGAGTATAACAGCAGAGCACGGTTCAAACAATGTACATCCAACACTTACATATCTGTTGCATGTAAAAAGAGAGACAAAAAAGCAAGATCACTTAGTTTGATATTCAAATGAGCATGTGACACACTTTTGCTTTTTTACCATATGATAGCACGAACGCTGCCAATACAAATTGTAATTACAGAACAGTGGCTGGATTTCACCGTCACTATATTCTGCTGAGGTTTGGAACTTCTTTGCTAAATACAAACAATGTCAGTCAGCAACTTTTGAGAAGAGTGCTGAATTACCTCGATCGTGTCCACCCACTCTCGAACATTAAGAAAGGTCTTCTCACAGGTGACGTCGTACAGCAGCAACACACCATCCGCACGGCGGAAATACGACTTTGCAATGCTGCGAAACCTGAGATGAAGGGGAGAACATGATCGAAGATACAGACAAAAATATATGACCCTTATTATACGTATTGGTTGTGATAGGATAAATACAGTATGTCCTTATGCAATGTTGTGTGTGTAGTTTAGTTTAACGTTCACACCAACACACACCTCTCTTGTCCTGCAGTGTCCCATAGTTGTAGTAAAACAGGCTCTCCATCCACAACTAGAGTCTTCATCTGGAAATCCACTCCTGAACACACAAAGGAGACACAAGCAACATGACACCCTACTAAGCTGGTAAAAAAAGAGAGAAAAGACACATCTTACTCAGTAGTCTCAGCCTTGCTCAGGGACGGTGCCTGATCAGATTAACTATATATTTACTGAAGCTATGACTTCATGCCTCATATGCAGAAATGTATTATTAGTCAGTCTTGGTGAACAGTTGTTGCCTTGACTTGACAGGTAAAGGAAGAGAGAACAAGACAATAAAGCTTGTTAAACCAACATAAGATCGGCAAACAGTTGGCTTTAGTTCTTTCAACTAACCCAGTGTAGCGCTGGAGTTTAATTTGAATTCGTTCTTGCAGAGGCGAAGCAGGAAACTGGACTTTCCCACAGCAGCATCTCCAGCCAACACAATCCTGTAGGCCTTATCTGATGTCATGTAGCCCAGGTCCTTGCTGTCCTTGTCCTCCTTCTGGAGAGGGGACAGAGAGGCAGAGTGAGGCATGCAACACTGTGGTAACTTAACTGCAATTGTATTCTGCACATTTTCTTCATGTTAAATATATTTTATCCTCTATTTTGCAATTGTTGCTTTTCTTATTTGTATCTCTGTCCATCATCAGCTCTCTTCAGGGATAGAGAAGATACATTTATGGCTCATACATACACACAACAAACTCTTAAGCCCCACTAGCAACAACTACAGATTGTACACAATGTTAAAGTGTTTTGTTAAGAAAAGGACACACTGATGAGTTTGATGAACTTGTTGTCATACAAGTGGTGGAGCTAAAACTGTAAAGTTTGTCCTGAAACAAAATTGTCAAATCCAGCTATTTCCAGATACTCCAGATTCATCTTCATCTTCTTGAATATCTGCAGCAAAGTTTATGAAAATCTGGCCATTCATTTTCAAAATACAAAAGGAAAGTTTGACATGATGGTAGCTCTAGACATATAAACATTGTAATGACCATGAATATCAATACCAAATCAGGATTCTGGCCAGTAGCTGTCAAATACATTTTCAACAATCCTGTGAGCTTTCTTCCTCCTTCTGTCTGCCTCAGGTTGTGGTGGCAGAACACATCCCTCCTTCCTATCTTCTACAGGATAACCTCCCTCTCTTTCTTATCTTCTGTCTCTCTTACCTGAACACTGATGGCACTCAGGGCTTTTCGTGTAGTTGGGGCTGGGGTTTTGGTCACACTAATGGATTCAGATGGCTTCCAGTCCAAAACTGAGCTGCTGTCTGACCAAAATGATGACTCACTGTCCTGAGTCTCTGCTGGCTGTGATGTAGGCACACAATAGCAGTCATTAATACAACAATGTACTCACACGCATAATTCACATATTATTACTAACTTCTTTACAACGTTACAACCTGTACAGCTGTAAACATGAGAAAGTTGCTGAAAGTCACGTTTTCAATTTGTTAAATACTTTAGTTTATGACCAAATACCTGCAAATTAGCCTCAGCTGTAATTTGTGTTAGTGCTACTTAGTAGAACTACAAAGATGAATCGATAAATTGTCGACTATTAAATTCATCTGCAACTACTTTGATAATCAATGAGTAATTGTTGTTTTTCGAAGTGAAATTTCTTTCAACTTTTAAAATGCGAATATATTCTGGTTTATGTACTCCTCTGTGACAGTAAACAAAAAAATCTTTGAGTTGTAGACAAAACAAGACGTTTCAAGATGTCCTCTTGGGCTTTGGGAAACACTGAACATCATTCCTGACATTTAATAGACCAAACAATTTATCGTCAAATAGAGAAAATAATCGACAGATTAATTGACAGTGAAAATAAGCATTAGTTGCAGCCCTACTACTTAGCAAACGTTAGCATGCTCAAACAGTAAGACGGTGTCGTGGTAAACATTACACCTGCATCAGCATGTCAGCGTTGTCATTGTAAGCATGTTGCTATGATGATGATTGTAGACTCTTAGACTTGTTCAAACAAATATTGCATTGCTGCAGTATCGATGGGCATGTACACTTGTGTCACTTATTGTCTCACCTCAGTATCAGAGTTCTCTCCCGTCACGCTATCCTTGTTGTCATTCTCCCCTTTCTTCTTCTCCCTCTCTTCCTCTTCCTCTTCTTCTTGACCTTTGGCGTCCTGCTCTGAATCGTAGCCTCCGTGGGAACCTCTGAGTGTCGACAGGCCGCTGTCCATGTAGACCTCAGGTAGGCTGTCCTCCTCGCACTCACTGCTGTTTCTGCGCTTCAGGCCTGGGTCACACATGGCCAAGGCCAGACTGTCACAGCTGGGTCGGCGGCTGTACATAGGCTGGGAGAACCTGAGGAGGAGGTCAGGAAAGAATTTGTGACACAAAACACAAGGTTTAGCAAAATTACAAAGAGACCTATCCCTAGTGGTATCCAGCCACTCAGATAGTTTTCATTTTCCTCTGCCTAAGTTTTGCGATATCTGTCTGAGAGTTCTGCCGTGGTCCCAGCATAATGGTGGATAACAGTTTGGACACATTGGTCCACGGACATACAACATTTTTACTATTTCTTCAGTATAAAGTGGTCAACCACATATTACCTCCATGGATTTGTTGTGGGAGCAGAAATCTGAGAGACGATTGTGTTCAAATTTGGCCAAAAACACAACTACCTGCTATCATGGTGACCTTTTTGCCAAAGATGAATACCACATAACCACAATGTCCCAAGTTCAAACCCAGCCAGGGATCTTTGCTGTACACCTCTGACCCCTCACTGTATGCTGATGAATAAAGACTAAAATAAAGACTAAATGGTATTCAGGAGATAACCCTGCTAACTCAGTGGCTAACCATGCTACAGGGCTGGGCCAGCAAGCCCTGGGATACAAGTCGGGGTTTGCCCACTTTGAAATGTGCCCCAACTGTGCCGGTGTGAAAGCTGTCTAAGCCCAGGTCTAAGCCTAAGGGCAGTGTGGGTAGCCTATACAATGTTTGTAAATTGCATCATGTAACACCTTTACTGCTAATGCTAAAATACTTCATTGCAGTTGCAGTTCCACCTCTTATTAAGATGTCATTATTCATATGCAATTCATATCATCCTCCCTTACCACATTGAGACGAAACCTTACCCCTAAACCCCTCAACACCACAGAATCATGTGGTTCAGCTTCAAAAATATTTCTCAGCACATTCAACATTTACTTTATTACTATGTAAAAAGCTGCTAACCATTTATTTATCTTAAATCCTAACATTGAACTTCTGTCCTCCATGAAACTGAAAATGAACTGTAAGTGCTCAAAAATCCAGTTTCTCAAAGGATTCATTTAAATGCTTTAGGACTAATAATATAATAACATATATAGTGTACTGTATACACACTAAGAGTAAGAGTAGCACTCACCCGAAGTGCAGAAGGTATGCTGATATTAAAACACATATAAAGTTAGACTAGACTTCTAAACAATTCTTAACCATCTGCATTGTTTGCAGGTCTTACCGATCCATTAGTGCATAAGGTGATGTGTAGCAGATGCTTTTACTTCTGCTTCTGTCCCTTATGTCTCCTGGTGATCCAGCGTTACTAGACTGTAACACAACAACAATTAAATGTTAGGTTGCCATCATTTCATGGCTGCCTAAAATTGACAAATAGTGTTAATACTGTGATGGTTTTGCTGAACAATGTAACACACAAACTCTGTTACTGTTCTCTCTTTCTTACTGTGAAAAATGTAAAATGCATCACCAAACATACAATCAGCAGAGAGAGCTGGAGTAAAACCTGATTAATCAATTTTGATGATGAGCTCTATTAGACTGCAATTCAACTTGTATGTCTTTTAGATTGTAAAAAAGATTGAAGCTCAACTCAAAGCAACAAAAGCCACAAATAAATCCTGTCAAATGACCCAAAAGTAAACTGACTATTTATATAAAGAAGCATCAGAATCCCAAGTTTATATGGAGTCTACCGATGAAATAACTTCAGTCACTTTCAAACTGAACTAGTTTTGAGTTTTGGTTATTCTTGTATTAACTGTGCAGCTTTACCCTGTTGGTCCTCTCCAAGGCAGTCCTCAGACCATCGTTGCTGTCGTGCAGCTTCCTGTTGGCTGTCCTATCCACACAGAAGGAGAGATCATCATTATTTTTCTTCCTTGAGTCCAAGTTATTTCTGAGTACAGCAAGATCTCGTCCCGTCTCTAGTAGAAGACCTCTCATACATACAAATATTAGTTGTCTGACTTACTGCAGAATCTCGATCTGGCTCTCCAGGATGTCTCGCTCATCAGAGAAGTGTGTCATGAGCTCCTCGTCGCTGCAGCAAAACACCAACAATTGTTAATTGTTATGAATACAAGCCACAAGAGCAATCACAGTTATTACAACCTGACTTAGTGCCAGTGGAAATCTCTTTTTAGTGACACAAGGGACATCCTAAACACAACATGGCCACTACACAATTTTCACATCAGATCTACTGATTAACTCAAAGACATTACACCTAATTTATGATTGATATGAGACACCTCAAAGGAGGAGGAGGCGGAGTATCGTCCTGGTGGTGGCCCTGTTGTTTCTGTTGCTAAGTAACGCTTATGAAGAAGTCATTGTGTGTGTGTGCAGTCACTCCAGGATATCCTGTTTCAGCTGTGACAAAATGAATACACCCCCCCCAGGAACGAATGCACCTTCAGAGGAATGGTGGTCATTCTCTGTTGCTAAACAGTGGGGCTTTCTACGTGTGAGGGAGAACAATATTTGTTACTCTCGGGTTTACAAAAACCTTCAAGAGACGTGAGAAAAAGGAGAGAAAACCTGTTCTGCAGCCCAGTAATCGTAGGTTTAGTCTCTCAGAGTTTAAACTGGAAGCAAAGAGTGTGTTTGCATGTAGACAGAGGTAGTCTTATTAAATAATCGCGTTTCCTTCTCACTGTGAGAAATAAAAAATGCATCCTAATGTATGATCAGCAGAGACAGAGATGCCAAGGCCTATTCAGCTGCGCTTCACCTTCAACGTCTCGCAAAAGACTGCAAAAAGGACTGAAACTCAACTCAACATGAGTCAAGATAAATCCAGTCGAATGACGCAAACTGAAAGTTAAAGAAATGAAACATATACAGATGAACACACAGCATACATAAGGGAACAAACGCAGATCAAACCCTAATAAGATCACCGTTCAGAGTTGATGCTTTGATCGGTCAGCTCCGTCTTCAGCGAGTCCATCTCACTGCACAGACAGGCAACTTTAGTCTGAGACTTCATCAGCTCCTGTTTTAACTTCTGGTTCTCCTGCAGAAAGAAAGAGTCTGAGTGGGTTGTAAAGTAGGAACTGAGAGAAAAAAGTAAGAAACCTGCCAGATACAAACTTCCCTGACATTTATCAATGAGTGGAGGAACATTCAGTCTCACCAGTAGTAGCTCATTGATCTTCTTCCTCAACGCTGGACTCTCGTCTTTCACAGTGATGTTCTTGTACTTCTCTTCTATCTGATGAACGAGTTCACATATTTAAGATTAAGGTTATTTGACTTGAGTCCAGCTGACATTTGTGTTTTCATGAGTGAAAGAGTAAATCAGTCTTGGTTCAGCTTCTTGTGAATGCAGTCAGTGTGACTCTATTTCCCACTAAACAGAAGCGTGTCTTTCTCAAACATGCACATTACACTTAACTTTTAAGATGCGTTTGCATCCAAATCTGTGAAATGCGAGCTTCTCTGCAGCAGTGCAGTCCATATGAAGCCTGAGCCCTCATGACAGGATAGTACAACACTGCAGCACTGTATTTTTTGACACGCTTGTTCATTAAGACTTTCCTCTGACGTTAGTAATGTGTAGCTTAAAGTTTTGCAGACATATCTCTTATCTGACATTTTATTCTGATAGTTAAACTAAGTAAGATAGTAAATCATTTGTTTAAACAGTTGATACCACGCAGTCATTGCTTATTATCGTCATGCGATACGTAACAATGAGCAGAATCTTGTATGAGGGCTCTGACCTACAGCGTTGAAGGTGTTTTGGAGTGAAAATGAAGTGCAGTCAAAGAGGTGAAACATTTACCATCTGCATGGTCTGGATCTTACACTGCAGCTCACACACTTCAGTTTCATAACTTCTCCGTAACTCACTCAATGCGGCCTCTGTTTTCCTTTTCTCCTTCAAAGACACAAACGAACGCAAAAAACAAACAAACATAGATCAAATAATTAATTGCATTAAGATAGCAGTTAATGAAAGTTTGCATCTGTGACACATTAATCTGTGACTATTTTAGGGGAAGGTTTTGAACCAATGACGGAGGCCGATATCAGCAGCCGTGTATCTACAGATTCTAAAAATAACGACCTCTCTTAAAGGAGTCAGAACATGAAGAAAGAGCATGCACAAAACACAAAACAAACAGCAGCTCCCAAGTTGGTGAAAAGTACACTTACATAAGTTTATGCACACAGCACTTATGTTCCCGCACAAGCTTTAAAGAAACGTCAGGGCCAAAGATAAGATTAAATGAATACAAGTTAAATAAAGCACACGGTCTGATGCCTGACCCAGCAAGTGATCTGTACTGTTCTGTCGCCAAGTCAGCCGTTTTCACTTTTCATCTGATGTCATGGAAAGCTAAATATTGTTATCGAATCTTTATCATTTCACCCACCACACAGTTTCACCAGATTCCAGCTTTCATAAATCTCTCAATCCAGTCGTTTAGAATCCGTGAAAAAGATTGAAAACAAAGGCTAACAAGACAGAACGACTTTAATTAAAGAATTAAAAAGCTCCTGTTCCAGTAATATATGCCTGCCTCATTATTGACAGTTGTCAGCAGCACACAATGACAGAAGTTCATCATATTCATCCACACATCACCAAACCCATGTCATCACAAATAACCCTAGACACATCACATTAAACGCTGGCGGCTAAAGCATAATCCAGCGCCGCCATCTTTCTACTGTTTCATATCTGGGATCCACAGTGTTGTGAAATCCAGCTGATCAGCAGGCGTGTCTGTGTTTGGATGAGTAATCTGATATTCAACCGCCTACGTTTGTTTGATATGAGGGAAGAGCTGAACAAACGCATCCTGCTTATCGCTTTTGTCTACTCAAAGTCCAGAGAAACAAACACATGAGGCAGGACTATTAAAACATGCTCAGCGAGTGATGGTTTGGGGTTTTAGGGGTTTTTATGTCTGAGTTTTGTCCCACCTGCTCTCGTGTTTTTTTCTCAGCAACATGAATGCGCTGGTCCATATCATCTTCCATTTCACTGAGCTGCATAGATGCCTGGTCCTGCGCTCTGCAAAACAATAACAGGATAACTTCACCATCCATCCATTAAATATAATTAAACAATCCCCAATTAATACGTCATCTACTGGTAGCTCATCAGATTACTGAAAGCTGCAGCCCCAACAAGACCCCGATATTTGATTTTATGAAGATCAGATCACTGATGATGATATCGTGGATTTTTTTTAAACCAAATGGGTTTTTTTTTTTATCATTAAATGTTTGCTCGGGCTACTCAACAATGTGGGGGTGTTGTCTTAATCTATACATAGACTCAAAATCAGAACGGTTTATTGCCATGTCGGTTACACATACAAGGAATTTGACCCTGAAAATTGTGCATAACAATAAACAATGAACACAATGCAATAATCAAGACATCATTCTAAAATATGGTAAACAAACAAACAGATAACAGTACGTGAAAACAAGTATATTATAAAAGTGGCATGTGTATTTTAATCAATTTAACCTGGTTGCCACGTAATTTCCTGCTGCTAAATTACGATAATAATGAGATGCTGGTCACTATTCCTGCTCGACATCAAGAATCTTGGTGTTGCATTTGATCCTATAGTTAATCAACGCATTAAAAAAATCACCAAGACCGTGGAGTTGATTTAATGGAGAAATACGTTTTCTGCAAGACACTGGCGATGCACAAAGATCAACAGGCAGATGAGCCTGCAGCATGCAGTTATACAGTGTTAGCATTTTTATTCCATAACAGTAGACATAAGGAAGTTATCATTTTTAGACATTCTCATTTTTTTGCAGTCCCATTGTCAACAAGAGGTAATTCTCTTATATATCCATACCTCATCAAATGTGATTACAGTTACTTAAATAGCAGCTTGTCCTTTACCAAACAGTTTTAAACTGATAAAGAGAAGAAAATCAGAAATGAGACTCCACAATTCAGTTTCACAATGTCAAATAAAAATCTTCATTTCACTCAATTTGAAGCATGCAAGTGAGTGTTTGTATATATGTGTGTGTGTGTGTGTGTGTGTGTGTGTGTGTTTTCCCCACCGTTTGATGGCGAGGGCCAGGCTCTCCATCTCTGAGTTCTGCTGTTTGATCTCTTTAGTGAAGTTTATGATGACCTTCTCAAACTGATTTATCAGTCTGGGCTCAGTCAGACTGATGTTCTGGTACAACATAGCTGCTTGTTCATTCCTGGAAGACATTTAGGATTGAACATCAGACACAGTAATGTTTCCCCCAACAATATTTTAGGATTTTAAAGAGTTTAACAATCCTGGTTGTTCTGTTTCATACAGAACCTGAACATCAGTGAACAGCGATTTAAAAAAAAAATGTTGTTTGACAATGCTTTGTCAGATTTAAAATTTTAGCTAAGCTTGGCACAAAGACTGGAAACGGGGAAACAGCTAGCCTTCCTCTGTCCGGAGGTAACAGAATCCCCCTACCAGCACCTCTAAAGCTCCCTAATTACTAATTGACCCGTTTATATCTTGTTTGTTTAATAGGTTGGACTATTTATTGGCTGGGACTAGTTGACAGGCAACCATTGGAGACTCTAGGAAGTTACCAGTCCCAGTCAACAAATAGTCCCGTTTTTTAATTGTTGTTTGCCTTGTTACTCATTATCATGTGTTAACTTGTTGATATGTTGTTGTATCAGATTTGCTGTTTCAGTAATTGTTGTGCAGTTGATAGAACAGTGTGATAGACTTTTCTTTGGAACTTTAATTTGTCAACATACTAATAATCTTAGTTACTGGTATTACCTAGAGACGCATGTTTAGCATGTTACCTGTAAAGCTGTAAGTGAGATTATTGCAATACTTGAGCAATTATATTTATTTCCTGTTATTTCCAGACCCATCTGAAATGTAACCCAGTGTGATATCAGGAATAAAATCATTTCCCTCACTCTTTGACTAGAGCCATTTCAAAATGTCGCCAACCCAGACCCAGAGTTCCCCGAGGTCTCCCTCCTCAACAAGCTATTTCCCAAAATGATAAAGTAAAACCTTTTAAAAATGACAACCTTAAAGCAAATGGGTGTTCCTTGGTATCGTGCATATTTAGTTTGGTCGATTGAGTTTCTTGAAAGCCCAAGAAGATCTAACTTTTATGTTGAGTCTACAACCATGTCCTCATCGTCCAATACACAAAAGATGCAGAGCTAAAAATAGACCAAACAAATAACTTCATAGATATTTCTGATAAACACTTCAATTAATTATTCACCAGAGTTCCCCAGACAATACCATACAGACACCATAAGGATGTGTCCAGGTAAAGCCTAATCACACACTTAACTCTATGCTTATAATCCGAACTGAAATAATTGTATTGATACAGCGATGAAGCGTCCTGCGTCACAGCACAGTAGTAAATGTGCCTTACATAAGTCTACAGTGTGTTTGCCTTCTGACAGGGCGGACTGGTTGTTATGCTAAAGCATATAGACACTGCTGCCTGTCTGTAAATTACTCAGACACACAGTGCGCTGCAACATCATACAGTGTTAAACACAAAGTGATTGTAACAGAAACACACACAAACAAGCACGGAAAGTTGAACATAGAAACTTTTGTTAGGTTGTAGTTGATTTGATCATTTGTTCAGGATTGTTGTTTAAGTCGTATAAACAGCTCTACATCCGAGAAAATCGTGACCATAATGTTATGCACACAGAAAGTGCAAGTGTTTTGTTTGGGTTATTCGTTACAGGATTAGAATCACAGACATTCAAAGAAATTGGACAGAAATAAGTCAAGTGACTCAAATATTGCAATTAAACTCACTGTGCAAAATCTTGACTTGTTTTTCTATGTTTCCTATTTGCATTTACTTCAAGAATCTCTCCTGAATTCAACAAAAACGTAACTACTTGTTCCTCTTTGGGTTTGGGAGGTGCCTATTATCATAAAGCCAGAATACAGAAATACATAAAATGGATATTTAGCGATTCTTTAACACACTCAAAAGCCTGAATCCTAATTCAGACTCTGAAACGGCTGCGTGATTTGGTGCTTATGACCTAAAAACATTATGTCCATGCTTACAAAACATGCTGTAATCGGATTTGTAAGGGGATTTCTCAAAAGGAATATTTCTGGAGCATTTAAAATAGAGGACATCTTGTCCACAGGAGCCGTTTTATTGTGCACAGCTGAATAAAAGTCCCTGCCTCAATCAGCTGAGAGATTCTTACATCAGCAAGAGCAGCAATACAAGTATTAATTGGAATGTAATCGATTTTTTCCTCTTTCCAATCTCATAGTCACGCAAAATGTTCTTTTCATTTCCAAAATGGAAAACAGAGACATTTGTCTGAAGTGAGCTGTTTTCCAACGTGGCATTACTCAGCTGACTGCTGTAACAGTGATTGCAACAGCTTGAAGATGAAAGAGTGTATTTAGCAGACAAAACCACTGTGACAATCAATGTCCCAATGCCACAGCAGCACAGCAGCACGAGGGCGAGTCAATGCAAGGCCTGAAGGACTGACTGAATGAGACTTTAATTGCATCATAATTGAATTAGATGTTAGATTAGATTCATTAGAAATGACTTTAATATTCATCAGTCAGTCACATAGACACCAAACCTTATATCTGAGTCACAACTGCTTCTGAACATGTTCATCCTTTTCCATTCATACAAAGATTCAGGAGTCCTGATTGGAGAAAAGGTCTCAACGGAGAAAACGTGTAAAGGGTTAAAGTGTACCAGCGGTTCTTTATTGTACTAAGCAGTACTTCATTGCAAATAGAATCATATTGTGATTAAAGCATTAGTTTGTGTTTAAATGAATGACCCTGAGCAAACTAGAGTTAAAAAACTACATTATTGTTATTATTATTATTATTATTATTGTTATGTTTTTGTTTGGCATGATAACATCTTTAATAGTAGAATACAGCTCATCAATGTTGGTTGTTTAATATGCGACTCTCGAAACATTTGCCACAGTGCAATATTTTTTGATATTGGAAAAATATTCATTATGTCCTTACATTGACTTCAGCTATATCACTCAGCTCTAATACTTAGACTTTGTGGTACCATCCAAAATATATTGTAAACAGTAAAACAAATTCCTATATTAGTTTTAGTGGAAAAAGTCTCACAAGGATTGATGTTCAGAAATGAAGTTCATCATGAGAGACTTCTTTACTGACTTCTGAGAGGAAAACGGTGTTGTAATATGTTACAACAACAAAATGTCACTTAGCTGGGCCAATTGTGATGATAATATAATTTAGTGAGCATTAGTTATTGTGAGCAAGAGCACAGTTTCACAATTATATAGGTTTTTACCGCATCCTCCTGAAGGACTCGGTCTATTAAATTAACAGATGTATAACCATTTACCAATAAAGATATTGTTTAAAACATGCATTTCATTATTCCCATTATTGATACTACTATTGTCAATTCATTGTTTGATCTACAAAATGTCATAAAATGATGGAAAATGTCCATCATAGTTTCCAATCCTCTCAGTTAAGAAGCTATTGGGTAGAATAATGTTTGGCAAATTTGCCTGAAAAAAGATCTCAAACATTTATTATCAAAATAGTTGCCAATAATTTTTTTTCTAATGACTAATCATTTAACACGTTTTAACTATTGATCACCTGCAGGTTTCACTCTCCACACATCCACTTGTTTGTTGGAAGCTGAGTAACAGATCTCATACAGACGCTTAAGATCAACATATACAACACAGTCACTGTTTTCTGAGCCAGAACATGTTATTCAAATAGCATGGCTGCAGGTGTTAGACAAGTGGTTTGACCGGTTTTAATATTTGGATTTCTCTTTAATATTTAATTTGTGAATTTCCCTGTCCATGATGTCTCACCGTCACATTTACTTAATAACCTACAGTGCGCTCACTGTTGAGCACATTCATATCATCTAAATAATTTCCATATTTTAAAGACATCCACCGACTCCCTGACCGGCCAGGGGACGGGTGTGCGCTCTCACCGCGGGATGAACTTGGCCTGCTCTCCCAGTCTCATCTCGAAGTTCTCCCAGGCGGCGGACACCTCTCCTCCGTCCGACTCCATGTCCTGTCCGTAGCGTTCGTGGAAGCCGCTGATGAACTCTAGCAGGGTGACGGTCCCGTCGTTGTCGACGTCTAGTCGGTCAAATATCCGGTCCGCCTCGGCCGCGGACACCTGCAGCTCCGCACAGATGGTGAGAAACTCGTTTCTCTCGATCCGCCCCGAGTTGTCCGCGTCGTAGGCATTGAAGAGGGTGCGCAGCCGGTCCTGCTCCTCTGCGCTCATACCCTCGATGGAGGGAAGTGGCTCGCTGGAAAAAAAGAAGGCGTTTCAGTGAAATAATGAGACCTGGACGAGCAAACCCAGAAACCTTACATAACCGCGGACGTTTTATTCCAATAACTCCCAACTTCGAGACTTCTTCGCGCTTATCCAAACATCGCGACAGCTGTTACGCATTGACAAATTGTCTGATCGAGGTTAATCCATTTTAAACCATTCATACCGCTCACACATGGATGCGTCGGCTGCTATATTGTCTTCACCAAATAATTCCCCGGTTTGTTTCAGTAGTCAGCTGGAGGGACAGAAAAGAGAAAAGCCGCTGTGTCTGACTCAGGTAACGCGCCAGCCATCAGTCCCTTTGTGCAATGTGTGTGTACGTGTGTGTGTGTGCGTGTGTGTTCACTCCTCTCTTACCTCAACAATAGAGGAGGTCTGGGCTTCAGGCCAAATGAAAGAGCTTTCATTGTGGAGAAAGGTTAATAGTCTGTAATGTTGTTGAATAAACTTTAGAAATGATCGAACCAGAGATTATTCAATTTGTAGGATATGATATCCAAAACACACAAGATAAATACATAATAAAATACACCTGAGATGGATAAACATTGACACACAATATGCTGTAGGCTACTCCATGCCATTTTATTTGTAAAACTTATTCAAATCAATGTCATTACTTTAGTTTTTGTTTTAATGAATGATTTACTTAAAACAATAATAATTAGATTACATAACATGGAGCTCAAAAGTCAGACAAATAAAAACAAGGCAAGTTTATTTGTATAGCACATTTCAACAACAAGGTAATTCAAAGTGCTTCACATAAAACCATTCAAAGCATCAAAACATAAGGCAAAAGTAAAGGAGATTTAAAAACAATTGAGAACATTCATTAAAACACTAAAAAAAAAAAAAAAAAAAAAAAATCTGTTTTATCACTACAGTTTTATCACATTGCGGGACTCTAACCCGGTCTCTCTGAGGTCTTATTTAGCATGGGACTCCAACCCTGCCTCGGGACTCTAACCCGGACAATTGGACGCGGGACTCTAACCCCGTCTAGAAGCGGTTAACGCGGGGTTAATAAAGACAAACTTACAACATGGATGCATGTATACATTTCAACAGGTGTTCTATCACTTGACTGTCTGTTATTACTTAATGTGTATATCACATTAATAAATAATGTTAAGAAAACTTCAGGGCCGGATTAACCCTGGAGGTCAAAAGTGAGCTGTGGTCCCCCGTTCAGCCACCCTCAAGATCAGCTAAAAAATGTCACCATAAGCTCTTTCCCTCTCAGTGAATGAGGTGGAGTGCATCTGTTTATCTGTGCTTTAGAACGTAGCCGCCGTGAAACAATCGGAAAATGATGTTTCATTCTTCTGATTCACGGCTTTGTTCTCACAAACAACGGTCCCTCTCTTCATCCTCTCTGTAGCTCGCTTTACCAGTGCTGCGCTCCTCTCCCTCTCTCTCGCTCGCTCGTTGACCCTCAGAGGAGAGGAGGGGCGAATTTTGAATGCATGTCTTTACAAAACAGCAACCCACAGTGTGACTATATAAATTCCATGAAAAGAAAGGCCTGTACATTTTTGCACACTACACTTTCAACACGTTTTTGAAAACATACATTTGACTGTGATATCTCACCTGGATATGACATGTTCCTTGTTGTTTGAAAACTCTTCCTCATTTCCTGATGCATTCTCTTCCTCTGGTTCGCTGTCATCTTCTTCTACCTGCTTCCGATCTTTGAAGCCACTGATGAACTCCTCTAAATTCACCGTGCCGTCGTTGTCGACGTCCAGGCGGTTGAATATGCCGTCTGCTTCTCGGGACGGGACATGGAGCTCCAGACAAATAGTAGAGAACTTATGTTTTTCAATCCGCCCTGAATGATCCACATCGTAGGCGTGAAAGAGTGAACTCAGGAGGTTTTCTTGTTCCTTGCCCATGCCCCCTGTTGATGCCATAGTTTTGCTTTAAATATCTTTGTTATTGTGGCTTTAGAAAAATAGGAAATGTGCTAACTGTACGGCAAAGTCAAATAATCAAATTTTAAATTGCTCTTCCTTTTGGTGAGATGGTTGGAAGCCCAGCTGTTAGGAGGGAGCAAGTAAAACTATTTGCTCCATGTTTGGGAAAACCATATCATTGAAAGACTGAAGGATTGGTCTGAATCCTCACTTTTATATCCTCCCTCCTCCTCAATCTTTTTTCTTTTTTGACACATGGATACTCCTGATAAAACCACATTTTTCGAACCTTCAACATTGCATCACAAATGTTGTTAAAGCCGTGACTGGCATCAAAGTGAAAGAATGCCTCAAGGCACGACAACAAGAGGAAAATAAGAGTGTCCAGGATATTTTTTTTTTCATTCCAAACAGATTAAAAAGTGAATATCATCGTACAAAAATATGACATTTGTTACTTTTGCTTCATTTGTATATCATGTTTGCCAATGACTGCGTATTGTGCAAATGTTTCTAATTTTAAATGTTTGTGAAAGAGTCCACTATTCCTTTCAAAGGGACATAGCAGTAAAAGATCTGTTGAAGAAGTTTGTCTAATGAGCCATGGTAAAGATAACAAGTTAATGACTCTGATCAAAACTAGAGGTAACCCTTTCAAAGATTCTAACAGGGCTGGATTATATTGAGATGAAACACTCCATGCCCTGCAGGAAATGAAACCTTAGGGTTGGTGGGGAGAAATGTGTCTTCAAACACACAGTTTAACACTTACAGATAACTTCAAATGCATTTTATCCATCTCTGAACATAAGTCGTAATCCTCCTTGAGACCCAGCAGGCCTCAATTACATTTTACTGAAATATCCCTGGAATAAATGCAATAAAAGTAAATATGTTAGTCTCTTTATTTGGATCCTTTTCAAGATGATCTACTATTACACATTTTGCCCTTCGATATGTTGGGTCTATCTGTGCAGTTGCGCACTGATGTTTGCGCGTGAGTCACGGCAAGGGGTCAACTTTAACAGTGGGGTTAACTTCCCTGATCTCTCTCTCAGCGGGGAGACGTGCACAGCCGTAGAGATGCAGCGCCTTCAACCTAAAGAGAGAGAAACGTGGAGACAGCAAATGAGCATCATTTTGTGCTAATATGTCGCAGTGCTTTACAGATAAAAGTTATTCTGGCTTATCACTCTCATAATTACTCCACTAGCGGCTGATCTATTTTCCGAGTAATCACAACACTTAATTTTGATTATCACTGACATATATCTTACACGGTGCTCATTATATAAAAGAGGAAGGGCCTGCTTGCTGCATGTTTGGTAATTATTATATCTTATGAAAAGTCCCAAAGAGATATGTGTTTACCTTTTGCAGCGTCTGCAGAGCTTCAGTATAGTCTCTAAGGTGATGTGGCAGAAATTGAGTTTGACTGTTTGGAGTTGTCTGCTGCAGTAATTTGCCAGCAGAGTAACCCTGTGTCACACACATCATTTCTGCAAGTTACTTTAACATTTTCCTCATCAGTTTTATAGCTGATATCTGAGGATGTGGCGACAAGGTTATTCACAGCTTAAGTGCTCACAAAAAAACACAAACACAGATACAAATATGCAGCTCAGTTTGTTGTGTGATGTGTGTTGTACCCTCTGTTTCCTGTGCCAGTGGAACTGAGATTCAGCTGCTGAAGTCTTCTACATCCCAGAGCCAGAGACTGAACTCCTGCGTCTGTTACTGCCTTGCAGCCACTCACATCCAGAGATCTAACACACAAACACACGGACAAACACACACTGTAGCTGCTAACATCCAGCACCAAACTGGGCACACATGAGTCTCTAACCTAAAAGAAAACCTGCAGTACACATTACTTCTGTTGGTACAGATCCTTCTGACAATTCTGTTTCTGTAGGGATAAGGTTAGATGATTAGTTAGGATACATATTAATGTAAATCAATACCTCACATGTATGTTACCTCAGGTTTGTGTGCGTGTACCTGATACAAGGTGTGTATTTACTGATGCTGTACATTGTCAGGTCAGTGACTCCAGGACAGGAGCTGAAGGTCAAACTCTGAAGTTCGACACAGTTCTGAAGCAAAGTCTCCACTGTGCCATCAGTGACCTGGTAACAGTAAAGACAAATGCAGAGAGTACATCACAACATTCAGAGATATCATTTAATAATCAAACAAAGCTGGGATTTTGAGTCACAGACTTTCGAACTCACCACCTGTAGTCCAGTGAGATTTATTGAAATGAGACATTTGAGCAGTGATGTCATCACTGTGAGACAGTGTGCCGTTACTTTTGGCACCTGTCCGATGTTAAGATGCTGGAGGCCAGGACACATCTGAGACACAGAAAGTGGAAAACTGTACATACGTACGTGTAGTGGAAAACATGTTGTGTTGTGTGTTACATCCATATCACATCCAATCTACATTTCCTACGGAGGATTATAAAGACAAGGAGTATTTTTCACTTTCTAAACGAGGCTGGTTCCAGGCATGGGCGCGGGACTCATCGATGCATCTTTTCCAACTTTATTTTTAGCAAAAGTAGCGTGTCATGCTTTAGCCTTAAAACACATTGCAGTGCAAACGCTGTCGCGTACCATTAATCACTAAACTATGTGACCATGTATGGGGTGAGCTATGTTGGATTTATTGCTCATATAAACGGTTTCACCAAATCAATGTCTTTATTTTTCTATTGGTAACTGCCTGATGGAAAATAATACTCCATCTGGCTTACTCCAAACAACGTCCTGTGAACGTTCTATGAACATTAGGAAAACAACGGGCCTGATTCTAAAGCATGTTTTTTTTTTTTTTGCAGTTTACAACAAGATAAATTGTTAACTTTTCAAAATAAAGTACCTCATATACTGCCTGTAGACAGGATGGAGTGAGGAACTGACAGCCAAACACCTCCAATCTGCACAGACTAATAAGAAAACACACAATTGGAAACAAACAGCCGTGTGTGCACATCCTCTTTATATCTGGATGGATTATCCACTAATAAGGCAGGTAAGAATGTAAATGATTGTCAACTCCACTTCAGGAGGTGAACCAAGACATGTTCTAGCTAGATGACAAATACAGCCACTCAACCAAAACCATCTCCTGCTGAACGTTGACAGCAATTAATAAATATGGACATTCTTGTACTGACCTTTCTTTGTGCCTCATGACTAGCTTCATCAGCGGGTCATCAGTGACATGACAGCCGTTCAGGACAATAGATTTTAGTTGCAACCTACAGGGAAGACAAATAAAGGGTTAACACTGTCCTTACACTTGAGTTGTCTGCCCATCCTTCCATTGATTTTATTACTCTACATTCGTGTGATAGGGCGTGTTGTACTGTACTACTGTTCACTCAAGTTTACCAGGGAAATGGTGGATTTAAGAGGCTGTAACATTAGAAGTATGTGCCTCAGTAAAACTTTTTAACGAATGCAGCATGAGGGAACATCCTGCCATCCAGGGAAGCTTTTTAATGCAAGGTGGATTTTACTGTAGCTTGTGAGTTTTTGAAGACACTGATTTATAAAATGAGAAAACATATCCAATGTATGGCTGATGATTGAAAACAGTGCATGTTTTAAATAATTGGGTGACTTTTTAGAGGGTTTGTTTAGACTAAGAGAATATAGAATCATCTGACCCACAAAAGAGCGTTGATAACCTAAAACCCTACAAATATGGAGATGCATGGTTTTCCCTGGACAACAACAACATGACCTCACCATATCAACCAGCATGTCACCTCAGGATGCATGTTGTATGACAATTGAACAATTTGTAATTTGTTCCATAACACGGCATGGGGTCAGTTGCACACTTTCAATGAGTGTGTGTGTGTTTATAAAAACTGACCCTGGGCAGCAGTCACTCAGGGCTTTCACTCCTGTGTCTGTGGCTCCACTCCAGCCCACATCCACACTGGTCACATGGCGACACAGCTGACCAATCAGACGCAGCATCTGGTCACCATGGAGACCAGGACCAGTACAACTTGTGACCTTGACTTCCTGTAATTAACAAATTACAGGATAGATAAGGTTAGACATTGGACCGTTTGATGACATTGACAGCAGGCAGATGGATTCAGGATGTTGAGTCAATAAATTCACAGTGTCAATAGAAAAAGAAAATGCATCTCATTGGCAAATTAAACTGTTGTAATTTTGTGGAAGATATTGTACATAGACACAGACGGTGTGGTGGCTTATTGATGAGGAGGATCTAATCCTACAATATGAGCGACACACTGTAAAGTCATGTGATGGAAAACATCCAAAAGCTTTCACCACACATCCATCCATTACAGTGTTTCTTTAGCTCTGAGCGATCAATAAAGTACCCCAGAATAAAGAAATCTCTTGACCTGATTCATTGAGCTCTGATTTTGACAGTTTTTACCTTTAGAAAGTTTCCACACAGAGTGAAAAACATCTGCAGCCCACAGGAGGTGAGAGACAGGCCACTGCAGCTGTACAGACACAGACTGTGAGGACGACGTCTGCCCACACAAAGTAAGCACCGCTCCGTCAGGTCGGAGTTTGCAATCCTCAGATTTCTCCCTTCAGAAAGAGAAAGATTTAATGTTCGCCCTATGTACCTGTTTTGGTGATTCAAAACTTTGGCTCTGAACTACATTGTGTGTACAGGTCTGAGCGCATGTGATGGTGCAGGTCTGGGTTATCTTACTGTATGTTTGTACAGGGAGTGGTACAGTACGCCACTTTACTGGAAGTACTTACATCCTGAGAACACACCATGTGCCGTGACACACGTGGAAATACTGCAGGACATTCCACAGATGTCATTAACTACTGTGTTTAAATTGAACCTCAAGAAGTAAAACAGCAATGGGTCACTTACTTAACACCACTGAATAGCCAAATAAGCGTTAACAGTGCAGCTGGCTGACTCACAGAGGGTGTGATCGGTGGCAAGTGTGTGCAGGCGACTGCAGACCCTCGTCACTCTGCACAGATCACTGTGAGGCAGCAGAGACAGGATGGACAGCCACACCTCATCCGGAAGACACAACCAGCAGTCACACACAGGGACACCTGCTGGCTGAACACATCATTTGATCGAAAGTCAAAGCATTCTATTCATTAAAAATTCTTCTAAAATACTGTAGAGCCATGGACTTTTTAAGCATTTGACAAATGTGATCATATTGTAGAATAGAATCACAATATCATAAACAAAGTACAGGAATTAAGATTTCTTACGTTGTAATTGTCAGTTTGTTTACATCGACATGCACCTGTAAAGGCAAACAAAAAGTTATTGGCTATACAAGTTACAATTTTTAGGACTTCAGTTTAAAAGGAAAGAAATCAAACATCATTGGATGTTATTTAAGAAAGATATAATCACATAATGAGTTAAGTTTGAAGCCCCTTCTCCTTGCTGCTATTGCATAAAGCGTGAAATTAATTTAAAACAGAAATTCCTCAAAACGAACAAAAGTAAATCTGTGGTATGCGGCACCACAAGTATAAAACCTTTGAAATTTCAAATTCATATGACTTGTTGGTCATTTTGTTTTTTTTAAATCTTTTTTTTGTAGCATCTCATAATGTGTTTAAGTGATATTCTGAGTGTGTCATTTTAGTGTTGAACTCACCCGAAGCTGATGATGTTGGTCCGGGGTCACCATGAAGAGGCTGTGTGTGTGTTTCTGTAGGTGACAGACATTTGTGTGTACTTCTATAGGCTGACGTAGGTTTCACTTTGTCTTCTGGTGTGTGCTTGTTTACTCCTGATGACTGAGGTCTGCAGGACACACAGGGGAGGTTCAGCTTGACCCAATAGCAAAGTACAACACACATTGAAAACATTTCATCGGGCTCTAATTGTAGAGCTAATGTGAAAGAGCATAAATGTTGATATTTTGAGTTCATAATAATTTTGTCTCCATATTTGTGGTATCTTTGCTTATGAATGAATGAATGCACATATTTGGCATTATTCTGTTACCTTTGGAATATTTCTTTATTGGTTGGAGAAGACAGGGAGACACTTGGCTTTTCACAGAGTCTCGATGAGGCTGCTTGACCCCCAACTTTTGTCTTTTGCCCTTTGACACCACTCTGATAACCCTCTACTCCTGGACTACAGCCGATTCTCTCTGGAGACAAACCTGAATAGAGACAAAGACAAATCACACAAGGACACGCAGAGAGACAAACACATACAGTACATGCATGAACACCCAGCCACACTCACACACATAAACAAATCATCATCATCATCCTTAAAATGAAGACATGTCTCTCATCATAGACTGTACAATTAAATGATTTTCGAATTGTTCAACCAAAAAACAACAACAATACCAAATGTGTCTTGAAAAAGCATGTTTTGTTTTCTTTCCTGTCCTGTAATTCAAGTTTGTTTTGTGAGGGGACCTGACCCCCAGACTGGGAATCATAACTCTAGACAGTAATAAGTGGTAAGTACAACATCTAACTTTAATGAATGTCTGCCTTCATATATGATATTTAATACCTGGGATAGTAGTGAGTGCAGCACTCTCCTCCACAGCAGCAACATTATCAACAGGCCCCAGATGTTCAACAGTTGTGTTAATGACACAAACAGATCTTCTCTCAGCACACGTGGCTGCATGTCTTTCCTCCATTGTCAAATTGTCACGATGTTTGGTTTGTCCATGTTCAGTAAGTGTTGCCCTATTTCTATTGTATTGAGATCTGTCCTGTTTCTTATTAATGACATCTGAACTCCTCTTTTTTGTGATTTCTGTAGCTGTAACCCCTTTACTTCCTGCTTTATTTAGATGTTCTTTAATCTCAGGATTCTGTGGTGCCGTTTCTACAGATGTCTTCCTTTCTTTTGCAGGTGACTCTATGGAGCATCCCGGTACGCTGTGTTGGCTTTGTCTTTCTCTGAGTTGATGCAGTTGATCCACACAAAGCTGGTACCGCTCATATACAGTCAAAGTTGTTGGTATTTTCAAATGACAGCCCAAACCGAGGTGTGAAGTCTTTTCCATCGGTTTCTGTGTCTTCTCAGGCTCAATACTGTTCATGTTATCCTTTGCATGTATTGCAAAAGCTGAGCTAGATTCTTGTTCTTCATTTATCTTGCACCTCCTTTTCCCTATCCTAGCATCCTCTGTTTCCTCCATCCCCTCAATGTTTACGTCGCTCAGCTCCATCTTCTGTCCTGATATGTCTCTTTCTGACAGAGCTGCAGGAGTTTTATAACTCAGTTTCAAGTTTCTTGCGGTGCCAAACACCTTCTTATCCACAATGCTCCAAGGTGATGTGGATTTTTTGATTGAGCATGCTGCACCATCTGATGCAAGCGTTTGATTTGTGTTTCTGTCTGATAAGTCAGTGTGCTGTCCTTGATTAGATATAAACAGACTGCTTGTTCTGTTGTCTCGGCTAGAAGTTTGTTTATTAGCGGCCTCCTGTAGCTCCATACTTTTTATATTCTCAGGAGTTTCTTTGTACTTCTCTCGCTCTGGGATAAAGGAGAAGGGGATGCAGGGATCATCTGGAAAATGTCCAAATACCTCATTACCACCTGCAGTACAGGAGACGGTATGATGGCATTTAGCTGCAGATGGATGCATGTATGCAGGTCTTTCCCTCTGCTCTTCATCAGCCAATATCAAGCTGTCAGCTCTGCAGGATTGGTGGTTAACCTCTGACCCACTACTGAGGAAACTGTGTGCCCAGTCCAACACATGACTCACCTTCTGCTGCTCACTGGAGAGAGAGTCACCGAGAAGACGAAGGTTCAGCTCTTGGTTTATGATCCGTCGACAATTCCCAGTGTCCTCCAGGAGTTCAGACACAGTGCGTCCTGCTCCTGTGAGAGGACACGTCTCCATAGTTGGATTTGCTGCACGGACAGTCATTTGTGGCTCATGTTTATTAGATTTATCCATTGTCATACACTCATTTTGTGGTGCAGCATTACTTTCTTTCTTCTTACGATGTCACATAGTGTTCATGCATTCTCTTTCCTTCCAGGAAATTGATGATCAGACTGCACACACTAATGTTTTACACCGAGGCACTGTCCTGTTAAAACAGACAAACAACCATATTTGATGCAACATACAAAAAGAATCATCATGCAATAGACCTATTATTGTCTCTATGATTGAGAGACGATTTTTGTAGACCAAAGCCATAAAGCAACAGCTACACAACAGCATAGTGCAGCTTATCAAAAGTCTCTCTTACCAAAAACGTTTTCCGCAGTAGAGGTATAGTAGAGCGTACTTGAGATTATTGGATAAAAAAGTTTTAAACAGACCATGGCATTTTCTCATCCAAAGAGACTCTAATGTACTAGAGTTTAGTCTTAATGGCAAAGGTTTGAACACTCCCAGAAATAACAAAAACATCACCATAGAGACGCCAACACAACATGCAATCTCAATTTCGCACCACATGAGGGAGACATAGCTTTGAGAAAGTCTTCAGAAAAATTGTCTTGGATCTCAGCTTTAATACTTCAATGTGTCCCGACAGGATTATTATGGAAAAGTACAATAATTGTACATGTTAATAGATTGAGATGTTTTTGGATGCCTCAGAGATTAAACCCATCTTGATCTTGTTGACCACAATAAACAAACATGTAAAATAATCCACACCTTAGGCGCCTTATTTCAATATATATTCAATAGGGAGCTTTATTGTGGCAGTATTAACATATAAAACAATCCATTTTTTTCTTTTATAACATACAAACATTCAAAAAATTTTACTTCACAAAGTTCATAAGGCTTGGTTGTCCCAGAAGAGAGGAGAGTCATTATTTAGGATATTTTTTCTTCTTTTTTCTGATTCTTCTTAAATTATATCTCCCAGTGTTTATTATTAAAAAGAGACTGAATGAAAAATAACCAACAAAGTGACCGTGCAAGAGAATCTGCTACTGTACATGCCCACACAACACTGAAATAATATGATAAACAACAGCTTATTTTTCTCTTTTACCATGTGATGTCCAATAGTTTTGCATAATAGTAGACCTGAGTTCAAATATTTAAAATCTTAAATAAATCATGCAAAAGCAAAATTTGTGTATTAGATTTAAACAGCTTTGAATTCCAGGTGTTTTAGTTTTATCTTTACTGATAATTAAAGGCAGGTAATTAAATTTAAGGTTTGTAAATACTTGACTCATGTCAGGACCTTAGTAATACAGTAAAACCTCAGTTGTGACATCAACTTGTGAATGATCTTGATAATATTTTTAAATCACAGTTTTATGTAAAGTACAGGCATCAAAAGTTGTACTCTCGGTCGATATATATGCTGTAAAACACAAGAGCTCACGTTCAGTAGCTCAAAACAAGAGCTACTGTAAATCTCAAAGGGGTGAAATTCCCTCTTAAACTCATGAAGGCTAAACTGATAAATGAGCGACAAACTAATAAAATGCTACAGTGTCATATGGGGCCAAAGATCTGTTTGAGCACAGAACTGAAAGGCTTTTTGTTGTTTGCAACGAGTTGAGGTGTAGTTTTACTTTCTATTCTCTCTCTTCTGTGTTTTTTTAAACATCTTAAAAACTGAACACCTAAACAAATAATGTTTCTGAATTCAATCAGTCAATAGCATGCTCCGTTAGCAATGAGGTTAGAGTGTTAGCATTTAGAGATTGGCTTTAATGATGTACACACACACACACACACACACAGCAAAAGCGCAATGAAGCTATCAAGCTTTAGAACTGCTCTTTAACAGATTGTAAAATTATCTTTTCCAAGCAGACATCAAGAAGTTTTTCTTTTTGTTCAGAGACATTATTTTCTTTTTTAGATCAGCTCAAAGGAAGCTAACAGAATTAGCAACCACATGTATTCAGTCTTGTCAAGCCAATGGTTAAAATGGAGCCCAAAGCACACTGCATGACATATTTGGGGTTTTTAAATGTGGTCACAAAACTGCTTCAATGACCAACGCTTATTTTTTATTGAGAGAAAAATACTTAAATGTCTCAATCTGTTGCCTCTTCCTCATCTTGGAAAAAACACAGAAAACATGCATTCATCTAAGATGATCAAGACAGCCAAGCCTACATCTAGAACGCTTAATAGGGACAAGACACACAGAGGGAGGGAAGGATGGAAATCTTCAATTTTTTTTGCCACAACTATAAACACAGTATTTACAGATGAGGGCATGCGATTTGCATTGAGAGGTCAGAGTAAGAGATACCCTGGGTCAGTTAGAGGAGGATGAAGCACAGAAATAAAGGATCAAAGCCGGGGACGAACTATGTCTGTACAGCTGCGTACATGACACCTTTACAGAGAAAAACTCGGATTTTCAATCTACAGTGAATCACTCGAGCATTTTGGTGCATGTGCTGGAGGAGCAACAGTTAAATAAGATATTCATGATGATATCCCCCTCTGTTAGTTATCATGGGTGATCATATAGCAGTGCAAATAGATCAGCTTCATCCTCTACAGTGAAGCCCAGAGTCTGTGATGTTAAATGCACACATTGTCATCATAGTGGTTTGGCCCTTCGCTTGGTTTCAGCGTTGACACTCATGCTGTAGTAGGAAAATAAATGCTTTGTCCCAAACAAGCGTGATTCTTTTGTTACTGCATATTTGCTGTATGCATAAAGCTCGTCATTGCATAACAGAGTTCCCCGACAAAGCAGCTGATATCATGAGGCAGCAACATTTGATGGATTATAATAAGAGGGCTTTGATGGTGATGTGCCCTGCAAAGGCCTCTGTAGTAGCCAAAGAGTATGGAGAGAGATTTCTTAAATAAGAGCCTAAATACTGTGTGAGAGCTTTGATAGAAAGATTGGCCGATCTAGACTCCATGTTGCTACTCCTTCTTTGATAGTAGCACACCAACCGACAGTCCGCTCTGCAGTAAAGCAATATGGAGGCTCAGCTATGATGGCCAAACTGCAGTTACTCTCAACAGTAAAATTGTTTTGGGTAATATGTTTGGATGCATATGTAGCTGAGTGAAATGAGGCTACAACAACACAGCCATATTTATATCCAGCTACAGACTTGGTATAAATATATAAAGTGTTTGGATATTCATAACAGCATAATAGCAAGACATGTACAGTATGAAGGTTATGGATACATGTTATGGCGTATGTTGTGATTAGATGCATTTTTCTTTCCTTTTTTATTTTTTAAACATATATTTGTTATTTGAACATAAACCGCTAATGCCCGTTCCTGAGAAGTTGATCCAAATTGAACTACATTTTGAGCAAAAAAACCATCTGTTTTCATTTGATCTGACGTAATTTCTCATCTCTGTAGCTCTCGGTTCTCTTCTCCATGCTGCGCCACTGTAACAGGCAGGCACTGTCTGTATGATGACCAATCACACGGCGACGGCTGTAAGTTTCCAAAAGTGACTGATGCAATTTCTCATCAGAGCTACAGGACTCTGATTTAGTTCTTTAGCCCAATGATGAGCTAAGTCATAAGGTTACATTGTGGAAGTCTCTGTTGCGTTTCATACTGTGACCGCAACTTTGTAAAAGTACACAAAAATAAACTGCATTACAAAGACCAACACATCTACAGTTCATTTCTATCTCTCTGTACCAAATAGAGATTTTTTTAAATAACATAATCTGGGTTTTAACCTTGATTTTTTTTAATCTCTGACAACAGCCCTCCAGACCTTTTGGGAACCCCCAGCCATATCAGCGGTGAATGTCTGTGAACAAACCAGAAGCACATTCCTCCTGATAACTTGTTGGTCACTGTCATGTACTCAGTAAAGTGAATAAACAGTTGCAGTCATCTAAATGATAAACACATCACAGATCTTAATAGAAATGGCTACAAATCATTTCTATTCTTATCTAGCGACTAAAATGCTTAAGTTAAATACCTGCAACTGTACTCCAACTGTGCCACATTCGTTCAGTCAGATCAACATCTTCTTCACCCGAAAATGACCACAGAAAGACCTGTATGAGAGATTTAGACCGTTAAGCATCATTTGTCACCTAGCAGCAGTCAGGTTGGAGTATACACACCTGGTCCTTTGGGCATTTTGAGTGTACCATCCTATCACTTCAAATCCCTCTGAGAATACACACAGCGATCTCCCACAAGTAGCACACCATCGACTAACAAATGACCCAAAATCACGGTTTTATCCACTATTACAACAAAGTAACTTTTCATCATGAGCCTACAAGTAAGCTTTTTGTCCCTTACCGTTTCTTCATACATTTATGTTCAAACTCTCTTAAAACACACTGAAAGATGCACTAGTAGCCTTAATTAATGAGCTAATATTTAGTTCAGAAGACATTTAGAAGTTCAACAAAACACATGTTTTTTCATCACAAACAGACTAAAGTTTCTCTAATCCGCTGCCCTCCTGTTTCCAAAATGACATCACATAATCTGAAACGGTAGTAATCTGTGGTCTGTGTAAAAGATTTGTGCTATCGCCTCTGTAGGAAAAAACCCAGGGTGCTACCGGGTGAACAAATGCTGACGGTAGGCTTAAAAAATATCTTAAATTTCTCAACACCCATCACCCCGATAAACTTCAATAAATTTGCTTTTTTTTGTAATCTTTTGTAAACTCTTAATTTTAAAATAAGCTCAAGGTAGATCCTCTGACTGAAAAATTCCTGAAAGATCTGGATCACATAAAAATGTACAAAACGTTAAAAACAACTTATTTAAGATAGGTATTAGTTACCAATAATTCTCTTTTGTTTTTAAATATATATAATGTACCTTTGAGTGTGGCTATTGTTGCGTCCAGTGACAAATCAATCATTTCTCTCTCTGTCCCCGCCCACTCCGTCATGACTGACAGGTTCTGTGACCAATCAGGTGTTCCAATCTGAAGGCCAGAACCGATCAGAATGGTTCGCGCTATTTACCAAAGAGTCATTGAATCAGCTCGTCAGCATCAGGAGTGAACAGACCTTCAAAAGTTCTATTCAAACGAAACCAACCAGTTCTTTTGTGACTTTCTCTCTATCCACGACTTTCCTTGTTTTTATATTTTCATGAATCTTTCCACTCCACAGGTTTTTCCTCGAACACTCGGTCTTTCTTGTCCTTTCTTTTTAGACAAAAAGACTTTTTAACAAGTGATTGGATCCTATGAGTATAACCGTATTTCTCTTTCATCTCTCTTTTCTACAAGACTCCAATTTATGCTGCCAAAGAGGTGAAACTAATCTACTTGTTCGGGTCTAATTCATTCAAAAATAATGTTGTCCAAAAAGGCCCGACAGTTTATCCATCTCAGGCCTCTTTTTAACAAATTATGCTGTTGCAATTTTGTGAGTGCTCCATTGCACATGCTCTTAAAATAAATTGAATTTGCTCTTAAACAAGTGAAATAACATCATCCCATTGGCAGACTGGTTGTTGTGTCTCACCAGTTGTTGAAACTGAATATAAGATTAAATTACACATTAAGACAGACATTTGGGCGTTCTTGTTTCCTCCTGCAGTGACTCTTCTTTTCCTCAGTCTGACCAGAGGTTCTCCATGGCCATGCTGATCCTACACAGGATCCAGCGGCGGAGCGGGCAGTAATACTCGTAGTGAAACTGCTCAAACTCCGGCGTCTGGCGGATCTCATGGAGGAACGACACGTCAATGTCTGACTCCAGCAGTAGCAGCAGTGTGGGCACAGTGACGAGCAGGATACCCATTACCACAGCAACAAAGCGGGCCACACTCAGCACACACGCATTGACGCTTTCATTGGACGATAGCAGGCGCAGGCTGCTGGACAGGACGCCACCCATTCCACCGCTGGCAGCCATTCGGGTGCGTTCGTAGGCCCGGTCTCGCTCCCTCTCAGTCTCCAGCCTGGCCTGGATGTCAGGGTCGGCATGGAGCTCCCTCAGCATCCTGGCGGGGCTCTGGACCGGAGAGGAGATGAGCATGTCGACGCCTCCCTGACTGTCGTCCACTGGGGTGGGTAGCATGCTGGCGCAAGGACTGGAGAAGGACAGGAAGATATTTAAAGTAAACACATAAGTAGAAAATAACCAGCGCCCAAAAGAAGAAGAAGGCACATTTCTCAAAGGCTGATGTCAGAGCTGGTGTTTTCCGTTAGCAATAGCAAAGGCAGGTTTCATAAGAGACATTCACACGGATACGTGTTGCTACAGACACGTACGCCTCAATAATGGGGAGGCAAGAGCCAAGAAAATACAAAGCATGCTGCAAAAGAGCAGTGCATGCCAGGTGCACTGTAGCATTGAAAAAGGATGGATTTGCATGTGTTTTGTTGACATAACAGCACGGCAACAGTGTTCTACACTATTGTAAGTAACTGTTAATTTACATCTTGTGCTGTTATGCCACTGTTAACTATTTACTGGGGATAAATATGAGGAATCGTGAGCCCAATTCTCCTCGTGACTTTCAACCTTTCAACCTGCTTTTAGCTTTGTTTTTGGTCTCCACCAACTCCTTTGGGAAATATCTCTCTCTTATGCTGCTAAATGTTGACCAGCTGGTTGCTGATTTTTGTCTTTGTCTGTCTTCTGTTTGGTGCTAAGCAGGTATAGTGTACAGTGGATTTTCCACTGACAACAGCTGCCTGCTGTGGCAAAATAGTAAAGTTGAGAACCAAAAAATGTAGTTATTATATGAAAACATCGATTAAAGCAGTGTAATAAAACTCCATAGACCTGTAGACGAGCTCAGAAATGGTGAGGGCACCGCTGGCCTCGTCATCTTCCTCCACTTCATCTTCAGCTTTGGGCGTCTGAGGTCGGAGATTTGAGACTTCCGTGGAAACATGGGAAGGATGCAGGTCATTGCCTAAAGCAGAGATTCCTTCATTACTTTGTTGCTCTGTGTTTGCAGGTGCAGCTGAAGGTTTGAGAGGAGACAAGGGGACAGATTCCTTCACAGCAACAACACCTGGTGAGAGAAAAAGACAGAAGAAACATGTTTTACATCTCATCGTATACTAGGTTTAAAGATAACTTAATATAGAGATACAATCAAAAAGATTTTTATGCGGAATGCAGTTAAACAGCATCATCAGAGTGAAGAGCTTTATCCATCACCTGACTTTTTTCAGAGTATGTGTAAGAGCCATTATATATTGTTAAGTTTTTTTGTATTTTATGTTTATTGTGAAAGTAATGTGTGTTATGCCTTTTAAAAATATTTACTATACAATATAGTTAAGATAATTGGTCATGTTGTAAAATGTGCTTTGACGTATGTTTTTTGCCCTATTAAGATAAAGACTCCTCTATTCTGTCCTGATATTGGATCATTTTTGGTTGACTTCTTTAAGTAGGTTTTCAGTGCAAGTTAGGCTTTGATGGAGCAGGATGTGGAGCAACACTTTTTCTGACTGCAGATTATAGACTTTTTAGTTATAGCCAGCAGAAGGTCAGTGTTTTGGTTCTCCATTTATTGCATACAGATTTTGTCTATTTTTTGTTGTTTACATGGAATAAAACTACTTTTAACTACGAGCTACGAGCCTCACCATTGGACAGCTAACAAGAAAAGTTTAGCCTGCAAGAGCACGTAAGTTGGACATGGTAGTATACGCGAGTCAGAACCCTTTACATCCTGCAAGAAGTGGCGAAGAAGGACGGTAAAATAAGCTGCCACTACAGTACGAGTATAGTTTCTGGGTCACGTTCACAGTGTGAATGTGTCACATACACAAAACACAGTCTTATTCTATGTAATTGGGCCAAAGTGCCACTCTCAGCTGTAGATTTGTATGCTGCAGTTTAACACTCGATCCACATGATGGCGTTCCCGTATTTCTTATGGATAGAGTACACACAGATAATACTGACATGTAAAATGAAAAATTCAACCCTGAAAATGTGCGAAGACAATTATACTATAAGTTGACATCAAAATGGTTATTTATATAAGTGTTCTCATCTGGTTGGATTTGGCCTTTAGAGGCTGGCAGGGGGCATTGACTGTGAGTGCGAGTAAGATGGTTCAGGCTGTGATGGACTTCATGATACTGTTTGAACTCTCATTCGTCTTCAGGCTGATTTCAGTTTTTAGCTCTAAGAAGTGACTCTGCAGGGTCATTCCTGATGTGACATAGTGCGAGTGTGTGTGTGTGTGTGTGACTGTGTGTGTGTGTGTGTGTGTGTGTAGATAGCTGAACTTCACTTTTCACTTTGAGGTGATGAGTTTAGACATCACTGATGCGTCAGAGCACACGATGAATCTGAATATGAACATGAACACCTTTTTGTGTGTCAGTGTGTGTGTGTGTGTGTGTGTGTGTGTGTGTGAATGTTAAAAATAAGTCCAGCTGTCTTCCTTCTATGGATTAAGCTGGAGCTTGGGGTAAATGTCCAGTTACATATGGCTCAGTGAACACCTCTGTAATCCAGACTCTATCTCATGATCACACACACACACACACACACACACACACACACACACACACACACACACACACACACAAACAGAGCTAAGAATTGCCAAAAGAGAAAGGTTGAAATATCGATGAAATCACAGAAAGACAGGTGTTTGTTTGAACTCAGGGACAAACTAACTAATCAGTTACCATGTCAACTGATTCAACTATGAGTTGAGAGAAATTAAAGACGAACATCGGGGGAGGGGGTGGAAAACCTGAGGAGCGAGTGGTGACAGCTACCATGGAAACAGAGTCGACAAAAAGGCAACGAGTGAATGAAGTCGGAGAGGGAGAGAGAGGGAGAATACACCTGGAAACAGGGAAGCTAGACCAGAAGCTAGAATTAGTTGTTCAACATCTGAACATCACTGGTTGCTGCTTTTGTAAAATATTCCATCAAACTTGGCCAGTGAGGAATTTGTCATAATTCATCTTCTCACAGTGCACAGTTGCATACAGGGCAAGACAGACTTATTGAATACAGATTTATTATACGGAAAAAAATAAGAAACAAAGGATGATTTTGGATGTGTTCAAGTAAAGTAAAGCTGTATTTTCGTGCAGAAAAAGAGGAGATGATTGTACGACAAAAATGGCACATACGATGCATGACGATGATGACAAAACTCCTTAACAATGATTATCTTGACAAAAGAGTCCACAGGCTGAATGTGGTGTGAAAATAATCATGGCATTAGCTATGCCCACTTATCCATGAAGGTTGGGAGGATATATGCACTCAATGATTTTCTCACACCTCATTTACTGTATTACTTCACGGTCAAGGCAAGTTCATCAGTAACTGAACCCCTGAAGAGGTTATACTATACAATAGTGCAATAAAAATATTATATATGATTATTTCGGCAAGTTCCTAATAGGACAACAAAATGTAGCACATTTAGTTTAACTCTGCAGTCCGTGAACATGTTTTATATTTGTTATTTGAAGGCACTTCTATTCTAAGGATATGCATTGGAAAATAGCAGTAGCTATAAATGCTGTGATACATTGCATTGGAAAATTGTTGTATATTTATGTTGTTAGTGGCCTTCAACAAACACCACACTAGTCATGAGCAGGCTAAACATCGAAGGGTTTCTACTTGATCAGAGATGCTCATAATAACAGGACGGAGAGAGTCCTGTAGACTGCAGACACTTTCAGACAGCAAAAACGACATGATATTAAATACATAACATTACATTTCATGGATATGCATGACACCAGGTTACGATGACTAAGAACTGTTACGCTTGTAGTTTTTTTTTCTGTGCTCACAGTAAATGTAATTTAATTTTCTTGAAATCGCAAAAGGTTTCAATTTCTTATACCAAGTTCGGTGTGTGGATGGAGATTCGACTTAGAATATGATAAGTGAACCCCAGAAACACGGAGGCTAGTCCACACGTGACGTCACGACTCCCTTCCCACATTCATCTCATCAGACACTCTTTTTAGAGGACAGGTGAGATGATTATTCAGAAATATCACTCTTATTTAACTATATACTGTATTCCTTTAAAGAAAACATAACATTCCCAACCTTGGTGCAGTCCAGCTACCACAACAAAAGAACAAAAGTGTCTTAACTACAGTAAATCATTGTTTTTTTATGGCTCCTCAAACGTGACTTAAATGTTTAATTGCATAGCTTCAGCTGACTAAAATGACATTGTATCAGTAAATGAAAATAGCAACATTATTATTTACTGACTATGAGGGCAGCAATGGTCATTTCACATCACGACTAAATAAACCTGACCAAGTAGAAACTGTTTTATTTTTCCAGGTCCGAAGTAAGAAATCCACTCAACACATACAACACAGTTTCTGCTGTTTTCCCATGTTTTATATACCGTCTGCTTTCTGTCTGTTAGCCCTGATGCAAGCCTCTCCTTAGAAGAGGTCATTCACACCACGAGGCGCTGCATTCCTGTGTGGCCACCGTAAACACTGCAAACACACACTCGTGCCAACACAGAGCAGGGTTTTCCCCTGTTTTGCAAGTGTTGACATAGCTATTCATCTTTGTCATGCAACCTCATCATTGACACCCAAACACCTCCAAAGTAAATGTATCTGTGCGACTGTGCATGTGTGCAAGAATAAAGCTGTCACTGTACTGTATGTTTACTCAGCTCTTCTCTTTATCAATTCCTCAACTCAGGCTACTGGAGCAACACACAAGACCCCTGATACTCAAGAAAAGTTTTAGCAATTAATCTCTATGTATGTTAGGGATTACTACATCGTTAATTAAGCACCTCGAACTATGATGGAATAACCTCCCGCTCTCTGTTTACAGTTTCAAGTGAAACAGGATCAGCTGTAAAGCATCACCGCTAAACCTGATGAAGATGAATTACAAATGATCACTAATATAAAATCAAAAACTACAAGTAGAAATCCTTCCTCAATCCCTGTTGTTTTACAACAAATGTGTGCTGCATCTCTCATACATATTTTACACATCCAGACAGAAACAGCGTGCTAAAGTATTGTCTTATACTGTAGCTATCAATGGTATGTACAGCAGTTACTTCAACACACTATGTTTGTGCATGCTGCATACTACTCGATATCTTTCTCTCTCTGTCTCTCTCTTCATCAGCACATGCACACGCACACGCACACGCACACACACACACACACACACACACACACACACACACACACACACACACAAACATTAAAGGGATCTCTAAAGAGTCTCAGGATGTTTGACAGACCACACTCACAGTTTGCACCATGCGGTTGCCACAACAAACCTGGCAACCCAACTACTGGGCTGAACTAGCTCATACATTTTTTATTTTTTTGCAAGTTTAATTTCTTCAATACTGATTTAAATGTGTAAATACATGTTTAACGCTGCATCACACTGGAAAGGCCTGTACTCCAGTTTTCATGTGATGTGTTGAAGAAATACAGGGTTCAATGAAACTCCATTGAATGCCCCTAAACTTGAAGAAACTGCAAGACAAAAGCTGCACTATAATAATCTTGTAAATATCTTGATGTATTTCTGACACATATTTCTGCCTCTTGGCACCCAATCTTACTCTGTTCCAGCGTATTTCTCTGAAGTCCAGTACTGATTCCGGCGATGCGTCCCCCATGTCCCACCAGCCGTACATAAACATCCCGCGCCGTGTGATTGGCTATGCGTAGATGCAGGCTCCGGCGTGTTGTTATCTTCACCTGGCACCTCAAGGCCTCAGACACTACTATAGATGATTCCCGTTCATCTGTAGACTCCCCTGGGTGGAATACTTCAAGAGGCCCGACCTGTCCCTCCTCCATTCCCTCACCCTCAAGCCTCTCTGGGGTCACGTCCAGCCCGAGTCCCCCTGCCCTGCCCTGGCTCCCACAGCTCAGGGTGTCGCCTGCGTTGGGTCGGTCGCCAACTCCCAGCTCCAAACTGCTCTGCATGAGGCCGCCTCCAACATCACTGCTTTTTCTGTGCTCAAGAACCTCCATCATTCAGTCTGATGACAAACCT